GGTGCAGCGCTCTACCAATTGAGCTAACAAGCCAACTGGGAGCTGGTCAATGAATTGGGTACAAATAAACATCCGAGTGAATGAAGATGTAGATATATGAAAATTCACATATTTGCACTGCGGTGGAAAGATGAAATTAGAAGATCCTCGCAGCTAAGAACACTACTGAAACTAGTAGTTGTAAGTAGGACCTGAAAAAAATTTCAGGCCCGTACGGGATTTGAACCCATGACCTCTGCGATACCGGTGCAGCGCTCTACCAATTGAGCTAACAAGCCAACTGGGAGCTGGTCAATGAATTGGGTACAAATAAACATCCGAGTGAATGAAGATTTAGATATATGAAAATTCACATATTTGCACTGCGGTGGAAAGATGAAATTAGAAGATCCTCGCAGCTAAGAACACTACTGAAACTAGTAGTTGTAAGTAGGACCTGAAAAAAATTTCAGGCCCGTACGGGATTTGAACCCATGACCTCTGCGATACCGGTGCAGCGCTCTACAATTGAGCTAACAAGCCAACTGGGAGCTGGTCAATGAATTGGGTACAAATAAACATCCGAGTGAATGAAGATTTAGATATATGAAAATTCACATATTTGCACTGCGGTGGAAAGATGAAATTAGAAGATCCTCGCAGCTAAGAACACTACTGAAACTAGTAGTTGTAAGTAGGACCTGAAAAAAAAAAAAAAAAAAAAAAATTTCAGGCCCGTACGGGATCTGAACCCATGACCTCTGCGATACCGGTGCAGCGCTCTACCAATTGAGCTAACAAGCCAACTGGGAGCTGGTCAATGAATTGGGTACAAATAAACATCCGAGTGAATGAAGATTTAGATATATGAAAATTCACATATTTGCACTGCAAATCACTGCAAATATATCATTGACCAGCTCCCAGTTGGCTTGTTAGCTCAATTGGTAGAGCGCTGCACCGGTATCGCAGAGGTCATGGGTTCAAATCCCGTACGGGCCTGAAATTTTAGTGTTCTTAGCTGCGAGGATCTTCTAATTTCATCTTTCCACCGCAGTGCAAATATGTGAATTTTCATATATCTAAATCTTCAGTTTGCTAGGATGTTTCGCAAGGACATTAACGTCGCAAAGATGTCTGTATATGTTGCACAACTTCGCACATTTGGTAAATTTTGAAATATTATGCCAGCTTCTTTGACCGGGTTACGGCGTAGTATTTTGAGAAAATATATATAAAAACTCACCGGTTGGTGAGTTAAAAACACCTCAAGGTTGTCTTACAGATCAAATCTGCTATTATTTTCACGATCTATTCCTGAGTACGCAGAGCACATATATTTCTGAATACCTAATAAATCGTCTTTACAAAGCTCGGCGTCATTACAAAAAAAATTTAATTTTTTAACCTACCTTAATGAATCCCCGCGACTAAAAGAGTCAAAACTACCTTACAGAGCAGGTTGGCCGAGTTTTCAATGTATCCTCTCGACAATATGCGTTTCCTATTAAGTTTACATATCCTTCGCGTGTTTTTTCGCTCTTAATGACAACTCAGATAATGAGCAGGTGAACAGATTGCTACTGTTTTGAAATCTTGTATGCAAATGACTGTGTTTACAACTGTTTCATTTGGGGCAGATGTCTTCCAACAGGTTTTCTGAATCTCACTCGGTTGCGCATCGGAACCGCGAAATTGAAAAGTCCGCAGTGTGCCTGATATCACCAAGGATTCTAAAAAATTTTCTTGGTACTCGGATTCTAATATGTGATTGTATAGTAGCCTTTCTTCATTCAAAAGCGGAGTTTATAATTTATCACCCTTCGCTGAACCATGCATGCATCTTTGTCATTTCTATATGGCAACAAGCAACTCCGGGAAAATACATTTTCACATAAACATCTGACCTCATTTCGTCTCAAACTATTGCACCGAAATTTAGAAAATCAATCTTGTTTTATGAATTCTTTTACAACCTCAATATTGCTCCGGAATCCTTGCCTCGATCGTTTGTAAACACTCTCTCAAAGGTCCGTGACATAACATTTGTCTTGTGGGTGAGGACAATTGAACTTTCCAAACACGGCTTTTTTTTATTTACTAAAATTTGTTTTAAAAAAAGGATAGGATTTAATTAGGATGTAACTTTCCTCCTTTAGTACTCAGCGAGTTCATTTTGCCTTAGAAAATGTTCTGGCTTCAATTGAAAGCGTGTTCTTATTTCAACCGTCAAATGAATCCCGCCAATCATTTGTCATTTGAGGTAACAAGCAACTTAAAGGAAGAGGCAGAACTTTTGTAAACACACCTGTCAACACAAGAGTATTTTTGAAAGATCAAAACGCTCTTTATCAGGTCTTTGCAAATGAACAGCTCAACCTAAGCCACAGGGAAAAAAGTCTTTGTCACAAGGCTTTGATGTAAATTAACTTGGATTTTTGCCATTTGTATCATAACCAATCTGCATGGTGGAGATCAAATCGATCGACTACAGCTTTTTAAAAAAATTATTTGTTTTATAATGGCCAACCAGGGACCAGCAAGGCTCAGTTACGAAAACACATCAACATGACTCAGTAATGAACAACAAAATAAGCAAACTGTTCACGAATAAAGAGGAGTTTTTTTTTAAAGAATTTTTATGATTTTTCCCCAAACAAACACCGTCGATTTTTCAGCCAAATGTCCGATGTGAAATACTGAATGATTGACCTATAGATCTCAACGCTTTATTAGTAATTTATGTTTTCCAATTGTTTTTAACAGAAACGCGTATTTTACATTCATCATTAGCCTGTCGTTTTTGAAAGACAGATCGACAATTTATCAGACATAGAGCTACAAAAGTGTCGAAGAAAAGGTGATTTTTGGAAAGGTCGATTTTAAAAACACGCACAGTTTAAATTATATACTTCTCCAGAGAAAACTGTAACTTTCACTTCCGCAAAAATTAAAATTTGAATCGAAAACATTTCGACCCTTTGAAAAATATGGTACGCATCTGAGTTTGATATTCAACACTTAAATTCATAGATCGATTATAATCGCTACAGTTATTTTTTTTCAAAAACCTTAAACTTAATATTTTTGCCTTTGTTTTAAATTTTACCATCTGTCGTTGACACAACATCAGAGTGTGATTTTAATTCATACAGTGTCATTTTAATCTTACAGTGATGAGAAAAACTTTGTCGAAAATCAGAAGAGTTTGAAACTTTTTGGCTTAAGATAATCCAACCGAAATTTGGTCTTGGGACCGCTTTTTTGATAACTCGCGTGCGCGCTCAAGTTAATCATTCACAGAACAGACGATTCAAGCAATAAAAGCAAACTACGTTTCAATGCACCCAAGTCTAGAATTCAAATTATATTTCATATTTTACCTACTAAAGAGAAACTGTTTTTCCAAACTTGGTCCACAAACTAGCCAATTTTTAATCTTGGCTGAGCCGGAAAAACAGTAGAAGATTTTATTTTAGCAAAAATGTTGCAGTAACATTTTATTTCGAACTGATTTTGTATTTGTTACACGGTAAATTGTACAGCTTGAAATGAAGAGACAATGGCCACTTGTAAATTTGAATTTTGGAACAAAAACAGTAAATTTTTAGTTTGGTACACGCTTACATCGATTATTGCGTGCTATGAAACAAAAGCCAATGTTTGAGTGAACACGAATTTTGAAACGACCCCAGAGAAACGAGCATTGTTCGAGAAATACGAAGGAGTTCACTTACCTCATTCAAATATACAGCAGTTCAGCAAACAACAAAACTGTCTTGACACAACCACTGTCAGCGTTTTGAATCAACTTTTTACGCTCGATATAGGCGAATGTCTGCTTATTCTGCCCGCGCGTCGCTCAAACTCTCATGTTAGATGATATCTTGCAATGAGTGCTAGACATAGCTAACAGCCTGGGTTGTTTTATGACGTCTCAGTGGTTGAATAAATGACAAGATCAAAGACAGCTCGCCGACCCCAGCCGTAACTTAGCGAATAATCTGATTTGAGGTTATTAAAATTCAGCTTGATGACACTCAAAGACATAAGACCGGACGGGCGCGAGTTGGCGGGAGAGAAAACAGTCTCTCAAGGGACGAGACTACAATGAGAGGCGGAGTCTTCTGCTACTTTTTTTTGTTTTTGTTTTTTTTTATAACCCTCACCAGTATCTCTCCCTCTTCTGCGTTTCAATGTTGCCTGGTGTTAAAAAAATGCTCACAATCAAAATACTTGCAACCTTGTCCGGGGGAAAGGGCGAACTTTCAAGTTACTTATCGGAAATGAAATACAAGATTTCTGTTTATTATGTTAACTCATTAAACCCAAGATCTCATTAGTAATTCTCCTTACTATCTGCCATACAATTCTTATAGTGTCAGTTGGGAGGATTTGGTATTGAATCAACTAATAATCCCCTAGTTGATATTTTTCTTTTTCTCATCACTTGTCTGCTTGATTTTGTATTGATATTGTAAGGAGAAATTCTCTCTTTGTCACACCTGGGAGTTTAAGTGGAGGGTTGTCTATCACTTATTTAGGGTCAAAGCGTGCCAACTACTAGACACTCATTGCAGTCGTGTCAAGAGCTCGAAATGGAGATGAAAATCCTAAAAGACCGGAACTAACAGGAAGTTCCCATTGTAAGCCCGGCGTTAATCTCGCTTCAATAATCTACAAGCTCCAGATCGCACATAGCTGCATTTCCGTTGCCACTACGATAATAAAAATAAGGTCGCAAAGTTAGAAGTAAGGCGTTTCACTCTCAGTTCGCCACACGAAAATGAGCGTTCAACACACTAAAAGTCGAGCAAAAGTTTAAAACTAAAAAAACAAAAACACCAAGGTCGGTAATGTTTGTTTCTTTGTTTGTTTATTTGTGTGTTTGTTCATCTGTGGTGGTCTGAAGAGAGTAGTTCTGTAAGGAGCTTATTCTCAAACTTGAAAACGAGGTTATGACATCTACCTCAAACTATGGTAACCAGCCCCTACGCGGGTGTGCCCAAGGGATCACATTTTCTTGGTGTACCACTGACGAGTGCCACCCTGTTTGCCAAACCGGCTTTGGGAAGTGTTTAAAGTTTATTCTCAAGAGAAAGGCAAGTTGATCTTAAAGCAAAATTATCTGTTAACATTCTAGTGCTGTAGTTTTGACCGTGATGAGGTTTAGTCTAAATTTTCTCAAGGGATCAGAGGACTTGCGTGACTGGCCTTTGCGAATGTGGCTAAAATCCGTTCGTCAAAATTAAAATTTGAAATTTAAAATTAATACTTAAAATCAAAATCCATCATTTCCTCAAACTGAAATTACGAATTTGTCTGACCCCTTTCAATTACAATACATACAATCGGAACTTCGAACATTTCCGCAGAGTTTCATAATGATATCATACGGATGTTAGCCGAGCCAAGCCTGATAAAGTCATAAATTGCTTGACCTGTGATAGCAGCGAAAAGGATTATCAATCCCATAACAGCATCTAAATATAATCTAAATAAAGAGATTTATTCGAGAAAATGCAGGAAAATCATATTTATTTGAACAATTATTTAGCGTAATAAGTACTAACCGGTTGCAAGTTAAGTTTTACAATGTTTCGTCATGTTTTAATTGCGGATCTGATCACCTGCATGTCACGCTACAGACGGCCAAGCTCCAGCTGTGAGGTAGTCATCTTGAGAAAATTACAAGAGTTTGTATGGGAACATTTACAACCGCTCTTAGGAAAAAAAATTCATTCAAATTCTCAATTAAAATACCTCACTTCACTTCTACAGTGCATCGCTTGTTATCTGACCGCTTACTATGACGAAAAGAACCCATTTTGGTGAGTTATCCATTTCTAGGTTTACCACGTACATAAGAGAGGCCAGTCTCATATGTACGTAGTAAACTTAGAAATGGATAACTCGCTAATATGGGTTCTTTTTTAACATAGTAAGCGGTCGATAACAAGCGATGCACTGTGTAAAAAAGGTGCAGTATTTTCATTGAGAGTTTGAATGTAATTTTTTATTCCTAAGAGCGGTCGTAAATATGCCATGCAAACTCTTATAATTTCACTATAACTCTTGTTTTGCAAGATCATGATCTCACAGCTGAAGCTTGGACTGCCTGTGGTCACGCTCGAAAAAGGAAAGTGTATCTTCGTATAGTCAGCTGAGTCACCTTCCACACGAACATAACTTTAAATAAAGAAATTGATGCCACCTTCAACTGGAAGGGGGGAGGGGAGACAAGAGTGGATAGGAACGTATGAAACGTATAAGGAGAGGGTCTACCGTGAAACATTTTTTTTTCAGTTTTTTTTCGGGAAATCCTCTTATAAGTGAAAGGAAAATGAACCTTTCAATTTAGAACATGGCTAAGAGCTTCTCCCTAGACAAAACTCAAGTTTAGAACACAATTAATGAAACCAGTTATGGACATAACAGTAAAAATAATTACATGTGTGATGCGCCAAAAAAAAAATGTAAATTACAACATAACTCTAATTTATTTGTTCTTATCATGAGCGATCATGAAAAGAACAACGTTTTATAACATTCATGGTAATTGCTAAGTCGCCGGAAACAGATGGTCCTGTAATTATATAAAGGACCGTTCGTAAGTAAAATTGTGATATCTGGCTACAAACCTGACCAAAAGAAAAGTTATATTTACTCTTCTAAAGCTGCACGAATCAAGTTTGCGATCGATGTGTAATTTGCATTTTTATGTTCCCATCATCAGGATGGCTTTTTTTCCAGAAAACGAAAAATTGGCAGGACGGTTTGCATGTTGTTAATTGTAACGGATATTGTTGATTTTATAGTTTTAAAAGACGCGTTTATCGTCGTTGAATTTACGCACAATGCTTGGTTGCTTTCATCAGAAAATTACACGAAATTAAAAATAAATTTTCCCACGAAAATTTGCGATGAACGTGCACATATGGTTTCCGGTTGTCATATTCTTAAAGACCAATGGACACTTAGAGACCGCTGTTTATTAATTTAGGTGAAAATTTTGCTCTTTCTTGTAAATAAAATGTCTTTAATTTTCCTTCGCAGATTTGTATCATCTACTTAAGATTTGGTAATTTTGGTAGAAAAACATGAATCACATGACCTGCATAGCCGTGCTTATCTGCGCGATAATAAGCCGCTTATCCAATCCTGTGTCATCCCAAACTGATGTGCTCGTTCGACATTATCCGCCCGGTTGGTTTGAAGCGCCCAGCTCCTTCGAAGATTATCCAGTTGGGAAAATAGCCGGCGAAACCATGACTATCATCAACCCATGGTTGTATCTACAGAGAATGGGAATTTTCAAATTGATGGAGCAGTATACCCAAGGGTACTTCAATTCCTGGGGGTATAACAACACAGGGAACCTTCTTTGGGGACTTCCGCTCCAGTTCGGATGGCAAATGTCCACTGGACGTCTAAATGATATGGCAGTTGGCCAGAGTCGTTGCACTGGCTCCCCCTGTGTCTCTCCAAACAGCTGGTGGGCTGATATGAATTATTACCTCTCTGTCCTACCGTTCTTAGGCGCCTTGAAAGCTGGGCTGTTTCCTCCTTTGAAATATCCTGTGTATATTTCCAAGCCAGCTGATGTAAGCGACGTGGTCAAAGATAAGTTCTGTACAAGTATTGAAGAGTGCACGGAAAAACACTCTGAAGTTATTAAACATTGGGCTGAGTTCTTTACGCGAGTTAAAGGTGGTTCTGAAGATGATAACCATGACGTAACGATCGCCCTTATGTGGAAGGCGCACACTACATCGATATTGACGGGTAAAATTCTTTAAATTAGGCTAAAAATCTTGGCTTTTTTTTATATTCATTCATTTTACAATCTAGACTGCTTTCGTCTTTTATTGATTTAGTTATTCAATTTGTTGATTCGGAGAGAAATGAGCCTAATTTTTTTTTCCCAACTGAGCAATTTTCACTCGAGCATTAGAATTGAATTGATTTAGCTTTACTTCGCTCTGTGATTGGTCTAGAAAACTCGCGTCACTCTCTCAGCGAATCACAAAGTTAAAAGCAATCGTAATTTACTCACTCACGTTTTCCTGAATGTGCGTCAAGCCTCGTTTTCACTTTGAGGTCTCATTGGCTCTTTGTGATATTTGCTTTGTTATAATTAGCTGTTATGGTGTAATAATAACTTTCATTAGTGCATGTTCTCCTCTTTTAGCACAACCACTCTTCACTGAAGAGGTCAACCTTCTGTCCTTACCTGAAAGAAAATTTGGAGTTGGCTGGGCCCTACTTGTAGAATTCATTGCAGCGACTTACTTCCAAACAAATTTCAACGAAACTGCTGACCAACAGACTGCACTGCCGCCGCGAATCCTGGAGGCCAGCGACAAAGTCCCTTTCATCCCAGATTTTACTGCAGCGCAAAATCGTGTCCTTTTGGTTATCAACCTCTTTCACAGTACAAATGTTGACACTAACGGGCTATTACTGAAGGTCTGGCAAAGGGCCATGTGCTCCCCCGAGGGGCGCGCTGTAGGAAGGAGCATTTTGGAGAGCGTAGAAGATGACCCTTGGATCATTGCTCGAAAGATATTCGAGCTTCTTAACGTTATGTTCATTTACCCTTGTGAAATCTGAGTTTTTTAATGTAATAATCTATGGCTTTTAAAATAAAAAATAAAATTGGATGAACTTCATCAAGAGTCTCCAAGGTTTTTTTATGTCTGTTTTCTTGACCTCATTCTTTAAAGATTGCCTCTATTAGGTGAGGTCAGGAGTCAGGAGACCATTGTATTGGGCTCCTGGTCCTATTTAGGTCATGCAATTGTCACGCAGACCCCCACGACATTTTGTTAGATAGTCACGCAACACCTTCATCCAAAACACTTACGTCGTTTGAACTTGTCACGCAACACATGTGGCAAGCTCCACTGCGTATGTAACGTCGGCCGTGAGAAAACTCGATCGTTGTATGCTTAATTTGCGATGAAAAACCTCGTTACTAAACATATACACTCTTTTTATTACACGATGATAGCCAGCAAACCATCGAAAATTACTCTTATATTTATATGCCTAATGTCAGGTCTCTGAAAACATGAATCACACATCAAAGCAAGAAATGCAAGCGTCTCCAGTGAGTCATTCGAAGGCCCGGATAAGTTTGATTTCTGTGCCTGCGATTTTCAATCCAGCGGGGCGGGTGCGGAAGGTGATTTACATGCGAGAGGAGGAGCGTGAAGAGTCAACTTGTGCCCATTACTCAAAAGAGGTCAACTGTTTATAACACGCTATGCGCATATTTTTCGTTCTATGCGACTTCTTAACTCGCTATCCATTTCCACCAAGCAGCACGTCTATATCACAAGTGTTTTCAATTTCGTGTAACGCCTTTTATGATGGCTGTGTCCCCCCACACACATACCTTTATTTTTTTCATACTTACAGATCATATCGAACGACGAAAACCTGTCCTTTTTATCTGGCTATGGAAAATTTTTTGCGGGTCATGGCGCCTACTCGAGAATTTCTAGCCTCTCTCATCAAAAGTCTCGCAGGTAATTCGTTTATCTTTCGTGAAGACGAGCCGTAGGGTGGCCTGCGATCAGCTACGGTGACCGCTGGCCTATTGTCAACTATCACGTACTGATTAAATATGGCGTGTAGATCTGGCGTGAGTGTGCGCGCTACTGGAGGAATGGTACTCCGTCTGCTACTGTAAGACGTTGACGAGGCACTTTTAAAACGTGTAATCTCCCCTTCACTATCACGCTCAAGGTCCTTATGAATTACCGCCCACTTTTCCACTACGCCAATTTTTCTAGTCACCGCGGGCTCACTATAGGTTGTTAGTCGCGAAAGTGTCCGCGAATTGCGCGGTGTAATCACAACTTTGTCCACGCGACCGAGTTCCAGCGAAGTCTGCGGACGAGGTCGCTGAGTTTTCATCTGCACGGACTTCTCAAGTTTCTCTTTTTCCAAGTTTCGTCGAACCTTCTTGGCCCACTCTTTGCCATTTAAGAAAAATTCCGTGTCCCGCGCATCAACCGACGCATTCGCTTCGGTTTTTAGGATCCGCGCGCATTCGCCGTTGGCCATTTTGGCCGCTAACAAATAAGCAGAAAAGCCCTTCTTGTTTCTCAAATCCACACTAAGTCTGTATTTTAACACGACATTTAACACTTCACGCAATGTGGGCACACTGCCCGACATAGCCGCGTACATCAGGGGGGTATTGCCAACCTTGTCGGCCAAATTAATATCGCAGTCGTCGTCTACGAGAAGTTTAACGAGCTTACAATGTCCATGTTGGCAGGCGTATGACAAAGCAGTCCTTCCTTGGTTGTCAACGGCTTCCACCTGAGCTCCCCGGAATAACAGAAGACGAGCAATTCGAGTCGCTAAGGAATCCTTAGGACCGCATGCCGCCATCATAAGAGGCGTACGACCCTCATTGTCAACTATGGTTGGTTTAACACCGATATCCAAAAGCAAACGAATCTGGTGAAGTCTTCCAGAACACACGGCTTGGTTAAGACAAGAAGACGACATCTCTCTTATCCACGCAAGTAAACAAAGAGGTGCAAATCAAATGTCCTCTCTGATCCCAAGCTGACAAAGCAATGTTCCACAGCTGACAAACTGTTTCCACTCTTGCTGTCTTAAAACACGGCCTTCATCTGTTTCGAGTACGTAGCCAATATCCAAATTCGTTTAGAAATATAAAAGACCCCGCACGAAGTCGTAGATGCTGGAATAAACAACGATCGAAGAGGCAAACAAGTAAGACCTTTGTTTAATATGACAACAGACAAATATATATTGATCATCTTATTCACAAGTCCCCCGGGAACCACACTCTTTCATTAATCGCTTTCTAACGAGCTGTCGGCGAAAAGCAATGATAAACAAGTGTTTGAAAGCGCTGGATTATGAGAGCTTTGAACTTAGACACGTCCGCACGACACACATCAGTGGAATTCAATAAAGTAATGATATCCTTAGGCTCAATTTTCAGACAACAATAAGTTATCAATCTTTGCCTTGGGCTAAAAATTGCATTTTTTATAACCAAGAAGTCGTAAACATTGTGTTTTAGAATATTTCTGACGTTAATGCCAACCAAGTTTGAAAGTTGATAACACATGTTAGCTTATTTATAAGACTCCTGAACGCTTCTGTTTATTACACACTGGTCCGTGAATTCTTCAACAACATGAACGATCTCACAACTCAAATTATCCTGAAGAACAGAAGTTAGTGTTTGCATTTTTAAGGCAAACGAAGGTTAGCGCGAAGTGCGAGTCACGTTCGAGGGAGGAGCCCAAAAAATTAAAGAAACACTCGGTGAAAGAATTCTTTTAAATAAAAACCATCCTTTGTCGAGGAACAAGAATAGTCATGTCCCGGTTTTATTTAGTTCCTAACCTTGTTTGACACACTTCAGTTCCAAAGTTCTATAAAACTATTTTCTGGTCGCAGCAATTGTAAAATTAATGGACTTATTGTATTTTCAGACATCTTCCAGTTGATAAATGTGTCATATCGATCTATTCTGGATGTCTGGGATTATCAACCTCTTAACGCAAAGAAAGGAAAAATAAACAAAGTGGACAAACGAGAGCGAAGGTCAAGAACTTCATTTTGCGTACGTAAATAATACCACTTACTAGAAGCTTAAATTGAAGTGTGCGAAGTGCGGCGTGTACAACGAAAACCCCAGTATCTTCTAATCGACCTAGTTATGTGCTGTGTTGGATCCCGGGGTTCTCTAAAAACCCGAAATCCTTGCAACGACAGGATCGCATGTTACATCTAAATATAAAGCATATTTAAATATTTCCTTAAAAAAATTTTGAGTATCTGAATGAAAAAATTTAACCCTTCCCCCACCCTCATCACTGGACAATTCCAAGATTTGCACCTGATTTGAATATGAATAATTACCCTTAAGATTTTTTTCCACCTTGACAACCCTAGTTTCATTCACCTCGAATGATGTTCGATAAGTCCTAACCAAAACGGAGATAGGCAAATGCAAGAGAAAATGAACGCAACACAAAAAACGACAGACGATATTTCCTGTTTAAGTCCTGTTTTATTCAAAACGCATTCAACAAATACAGTCTCCGGATTTGAACGAACCTTTTAACTCTCAAGAAAACCAAGACAGAATATATCCTTGCAATAACAATACAAAAACAACAAAAAAAACAACTGAGGGATTATTAGTTGTTCCCGGCAATATCGCATGCTCTGAAGTAAAATCATGAGATTTGAATAGAAGACAGTGGTGAGAATTACAAATGAGATCTTGGGACTGAAGGCTTGAGACGATAAAAGATTACAGAGGTATTAAGAACGTAAAATAACGTTTCGTTTACCTTCCCTTATCATCATTGCCCTGTAAAGCAACACTGGAAAGGAGTATAAAATAAGCCCTCGAAAAATGAACTACCCTTCATATGCAATCAATTCCCTGCTTAGGAGTCCTGTCAACAAGATTGCGCCCTCAAAGCGACCGGGTTAGTATGACCTTTCTTGTGCTCATGCGTGAAGCAAAACTTATTGCACACAGGACAATGTTTTCGGTGGTCAAATAAATTTATAGCCCCTAAAATAGAACGAACAAGAATATGTTTAATTTTAAGTATTTTAGATACTTCACAGCAACTTCAAAAAGTTCATTATACTCTTGATCGCTTAAAACAAATTTCCTCTCATAAGGACATACAAATCTATGTGTTCATGGACTTAACCATGTGCCTGTGTACGTCAATTTTACACACATTTATTAATGGGTATTGTTAAGCAAGAAGAAAATCAAGCCACAACATTTGGCCACTAAATTCCCTAACCAATGAATTTTTAGCCCCTAATATTGAAGAACGAAAAAGAAAATGACCGTATAAATCCAATGCGAGCGGTTTACATGAACACTTCCATGTTATTTGATATGTTCTCAGTTGCAGCACAAATTCTCTTTAACCCAATTTACAAATACTCTTAATCTTTAGCCTTAAAATTGCATACTTATCCTGCCTGTGAGACAGGCCTAATTTTTTAGCTTTTATTCAGTGGGTGCAAAGGCAAGCGCAAAGTGCGTAAAGAGTGCATAAAATGAGGGCCAGCAGTGAGTCACGCGCGAGACGAGGAGTGCGAGAAGCGCGAGGGTCACCCACGACACAAGGAGCGCATAAAGCGCTTCCTCCTCGTATCTCCTCTACTTACGCGTGGCTCTACCCACGCGCCTTTTTTTGCACGCCTGCCCCTCTCACTTATAAAGCGAAAACAAAACGACACCTGTTCCACAAGCTATAACTCACCTGTCATAAACTCCGGGGAGGGCCCTGACCATTCCATTGTACATCATCAACGATAAGAAAAGCAACTTTCACTGCCATCGTGTTCAATCAATTAAAATCAACAGCCCTTCACTAGAAGAAGCCTACGCTAGATAGATGCTTATTAGCGTAAACATGTGAAAACCCAAGTACAAATCATAGAGGTTCTGTCGCTCCTCACTGTCACCCCATCGCTCCGCTTTTTCGCTCGTCCCTACTAAAGACAGCCAGGAGCTGGCTATATTCCAGGAACGATTGTGGTGATATAGGGATTGGGGTGTACAATTTTATTATTTAGTGCCCTAGACAGGGTGTCATGATGAACAAAATCTTGAACATGCGGGGACGAACTTGGTGATGCGTGGTTTCCAGGTGTATTACTTGCAACTGTATTTGACCTTATCCTAAAAATCCTGTATCGATTTACTAGAAGGTACCTACTCAGTGAGGGCAACTTGCCACAATGTTTACATGATTTGTCGCCTTAAACTGGGTAAAGGGATTAACGAACGTTCTCTTTAACAAAGTCATGGTTTCAAGACATCTGAGGCACACCCCCCCCCACCCCAACTTCCGAATAAGCCCCCTCCTCCTCCCCCCCCCCCCCCCGTTAAAAGGGGCTACCGATGAATTATTACATTTTTATTACAAGAGGTTGAGCGCATGCGTTATAGAACTCCCCTGAGCCACGGCCTGCCTTTACCTCCTTCATAATGCTCTTCACATCGAAGGGTACTTGATAGGCTCGATTACCAGCTACTGTTTGGGAAAATGAGCCCGTGTTCCTCCCCTTCTCTTCTCGGGAAGTAGCGAAGAACGGATACGAGAGAGCAGCGGAAATCGAGCCTTGGAACTTATGACACGCAATTAGTTTACTCGATACATGGATAACCGTTTAGGTTGATTGTTTTCCATAACACTGCATGGGTGCAAGGTACACGAAAACATATGTTAACGTCAAAATAACTACTCAGAGGGCATCCCTAAATACCATGTAACCGATGTTGTTTCACTCTCGGAGAGTAATTTTCATCATAACCTTCGTTATTTTCCTTGACAAACACATGCTTCACTAGCAGAAGAACGCACTTAGCTTAATAAATCAGTGATGGCATCGTACAATAACATTGACCTCATGAATAACTAAAATGATGCTCAAAATTCAGTGTCCAATTAGACTCTAAAATAAATGGAGAAACCCTGGTATCCCTGTACACACAACGATAAAGTAACCTTGTTAGATCACATGAATCACATCGCCGACAAACACAGGTCTGGAACTTTCTTCACAAATGTAGCTTTCTCTTTTTCACCCCGAGAAGTGACAAGCAATTCATTTACTCTCACAATATCGCTGCTAAATCAAACATTAAGGTCGTGAGAATAAAGGAAATGATAACCAACGAAAGAAGCTCTCAAATGTTGAACAAATTCTCCTGGTCAGTACCTTAGGATGTCTACAGAAAACAATAAGGAGAATATAGATACTGATGTTAAGGCATGAGGGTTAAAGGTTGAAGACATGCGCAAACGGTTAGGTTACTCTTTGAAATCCCTTAACTTTTAAATCCTCAAGATCTGATTGTTAATTCTCCTCTCTGGCTGCTACACATCTCCTTATAAATTAGTAATGAGAATTTGATGCTAGGTCAAGTTAAAAAAAACTTCTACAAGATAAGCTTGAATAATTTATGGATATTATAGGGAGAAGTTACATGTTAATCACTACTAGGAGTTGAAAGGTTAACTCTTGCCCTGGCACACAAAACAATGACGGCCTGGGATCAAACCTAGACTTCTCATTCCGAAGTTCAGTGCGCAATTATCCAGGCCGCTGCGTGCACAAAAGTTAACTTATTTTAATAACACTAGTATACCGTAAAATCGGTTCGGTAGTCATCGTCGTAAATGATACTTTGAAAAAAGAATTGTAATCGTTTGTCTTACGATGTGGTCTCTTCGGATTTAGATGGCGATGTTTCGACTGCATACTGCTAGTCTTCCGCGAGAGCAGGAGAGCCATGCGGTAAGGAACCTGATCCGAAGATGCACCAATCGCAGCCGTATAATTTCATCCAATCACAGCTGAGCACTACAGCATACAACTGACACGTATTCAATCGACCCAATCGCCTGAAGAAGATTAGCAGTATGCAGTTGACAAGTCGCAATCCACATCCGAAGTGGCCACAACGTGAGACAAACAATTACATTTCTCTTTTGAAACATTAAAATATACTACAAACTATTTCATAAGGTGGCAGTAACTATATTTAATTCTTACTTATTTTAAATACTTCACGACAACCTCACTAAGTTCACTATACTCTTTATCGCATACAACAAGTTTTCTTTCATAAGGACATAAAAATGTGTAAAAAATTTTTACAAGCATTTGTTTTGGGGTATTGTAAAGCGAGGAGAAAATCAAACCACAACATCTGGCTATTAAATTCCTGGTATATGACAATTGTAAAATATAAGAACATATATTAAACCGTTTGTACATGTACTTTCAAGTGTCAGCTCATCAATATCATAAAATAATTTTCAATATAGTGAGGCAAATAATCATGGGTTGCATTTGCTTTACTAAGGAATGCTCTGCGATTGGTCCACAAAACTTTGGCTATCTCCCCAACCAATCAAATGCAAAGGAAAAGTAGTCACATTTTCAAATCTGCACACAAGCCCTGATCATTGGCGCTCCAGGACGGTCGTTCCTCTACGTGCGGGAAGATTTGAGACGAGTCGAACAAAGGTTCGTCGGGGGGATTGGCACTAACTCAATTATAGTGCCAGACCCCTTGCAGACCTCGGTACAGCTCGCGTTACTCAAGCTCTCACACTTTCCTGCGGGCGAAGAAACTCTCGTCCCTAAGCGAAGCACTAAACCACAACCTATTTTACGAAACTAATCATGATGTTTACGCTAAGTTCTCTTTAGCTCCTTGTTATATTTTCTTTAGTTATGAATGGTTGTTTTGACTACTTTGGCTTTGGTTTTATGGCTCCAAGTTAAAATGTGCAATGGAACACATCAAAGTATACACTTTACATAAGCGGTAGCAGGGGTTTCAATGAAAGCGGTCTACCAAGCGGTCTACCAAGCGGTCTACCAAGCGGTCTACTAAGCGGTCTACCAAGCGGTCTAAGACTTCTCACGCCTGCCTGTTTAGCCTGAAGGCAGGCTGTCGTAGGTTTCATCATTCGGCACAGCTGCCCAACACACTATCAGTAGCCACTTATGGATAAAGTTAATTATTGAATCCTCCGATTTACTGAAAACTTTCCCACGTTATGATTCAATTAGCCCTTAGTTTTTGCATGAGGGTCAGTGCTGCATGTTAATTGCTATCAGGATCTCAACTCCTCAAATCTATATCTACATGTATGTGTTACATGTACTTCTTTCTTAATGATGAAACATTCGTTTGATTACGAGAAAAACGTATAAACTTAAGTAGGAGCTTTAGGCAAAGTAGCCCCCCACCTTGAATAGCTGGGTTGAGGCAATTAAAACTCTTTATCGCCATGATCTTAGTTATGGCTGGTACCAGACAAATGCTTAAATTTTCATGATCTCAAAAATTCCTAGGCCATTTCCAAGATGCCAGAGGCCTCTGTTCAAAGCAAGAGCCAAGTAAAGTTCTTGATAGGAAAATGTACCTATTGCTAATACAAAAACTTAATTTTCATGCTAGAGGTTTTATACCTGACTTTGAATGAATGAGAAGGTTTGGTGTTGGAAATGGGTAATTAGTACATGTAATTAATTATAATACTTAGCATGTTCATGAACAAAATTATTATCATATCATCATCATCATTATCATCAGCGTTCAAAAACACTTCACCACAACACCCGCTGCTGCCCTTTCAGGATGTCAGTACCGCAGTCGCTTGTTGCTGTCATAGTAACTAGGAGGTCCCTGCAGAGCAAACTGCCCCGTTTCTCCTTCAGCAGCTCTCTTTTGACCAAGCTGTGGGTGAGCACCCTTAAATAATGAACAGAGTAAAACTAATCATGAAAAAAATAGAAGTGCTTTAGCATGAACTTTACAAGTAATTTTATTTATATTGCTCTAAAGAAACTCACTTGCTTCACTACCCCAGCTGCAAAACTAACACCAAAACAGATTAGTTTGACATCAGTCGCACACAAAGGGCTAGTGTTCTCAAAGATAGCAACAGAAAAACAGCCAAAATAAAATGACAACTTAATAGAAAGGGCTTCTCAAAGAGCTTACCAGTTGTGACTGCTGTTGACTGCTGTAGACAACTGGAGGAGCTGAATGTTGGGGAGCTACACTTGCACTTGGGTATACAGCCTGTTCAGTACTGTGCCCAGCCACTGATGGATAACCTGGCTGACCTGCTCCTGACATGTCCATCTGCCCTGGGTAAACTGCACCTGGCTGCTGTGGCTGAGGCTGTGGCTGTGGCTGGAGAAGCTGCTGTTGTTGCTGAGGCAGAGGCTGCATCAGAGGCACAGGTTGCTGTTGCTGGGGTGCCTGTGGCTGCTGAAGTTGTTGTAACTGATAAAAATAAGAAACAAATTATGTGTGATATGACTCTGAAAACAGTTTTGCTACAAACATATAGTAGCAGTGGACTACATAGCACCATTGTCTTGCCAAGAGTAGTCCCAAAAAAAACTTGTCTTGTCTTCAAAAAAGCCTTGTGCTTTGAGTTAAGTGAGGAGACAACACCTTTAGATTGAGCCATAAACATCTCTTACTCTCCTACAAAAGTCTAGAATCCCACTCAAGGTTACATAATACTCCATGCAAACTAAACAAATATCACTGGTTATAACATTCCTTGAGGCATAATCAGTTATATGATCAGGGCTCCAAGTTCTCTTTGTCTAAAAGCCCCCATTGGTATAAAATGGTAATAATTGAGAAAAATTTGGTCACCAAAAAAAATCGTCATATCAATGGGAGGACAATTCATGTTGCATAACCGGCATTTGTACATTTGACCATTCGATCAACAAGAGATTTTTTTAAATTTATTTTTTCAAACCTGGTTGCCAATTGGCAACTTTGCCTAAATTTAAGTCACCAAATAAATTTTGCAATCACCATAGTGACCAAAACAGTCACAATTTGGAGCACTGATTATGCATTTTAGACCCAGTAAATTCTACTTAAAATATTTGATTCATTATACATTCTGACATTCACGCTTTGGCCCCTAAGAGTGACAAGCATTGAATTTCTCCTCGCAATATCACCACTGAACTACTCATTAAGGTCATGAGAGTGAAGAAAATGATCACTAAATTAACAAGCTTGTGATTGTTAAAAAAATTCTCCTTGTCAGCACCTTAAGAAATGTATGGATGACAGTATGGAGAATATGCATACTGATGTTAGGGTGTAACGGGTTAAATAATTTGCAGAGCAAACCTGTGGTTGTTGGTAATACACCATAGCTTCTGAACCTGGTGTCACTGCCTGTTGTGGTTGGTATTGCTGTGTTGTTTGGAACTGGCCATACATGCCACTACTTGAGACAGTCATTAAAGGTTGGGATGCCTGTTCAGCCTGACCCCATTGGATGCCACCCACAGATGTTGCTAAAAAAAAAAAAAACCAAAGAGTGTAATTTCACTTCTGCCACAAGGCTCAATCAAAAGTTATTTTGACAAAAGATGGTTCTGCGCACCTATGAGGATTGTGTATCCTAACAGAAAACCAGTCCGTAAGAATTCCACTGAATAAAATTACATATCCTAACACCATCTGGCTACAAAATATTGCTTACAATAATTTAATAATTAAAACTGGATATGTACCTTGTAAAGGTGCGGTTTGAGCTTGAGGAGTAGACACTGCCACACTACCCACTGCTGGAGGCATCTGTTGATACCACTGATATTGAGGTGCTGGGGGAGCTACTGCAGGGATGGAGGAAGGCTGAGATGTGGAAACCTGTGGCTGAATGATGGCAGTTGGTTGAACACTACCCATAGGTAGCTGAACCATGGGTTGTTGTGTTGTCAGCCCTGGCACAGATTGAGGCTGGAGCGAGACAAAAAAAGTCTTCATTAGATTTAATGTCAAACATTGGACTGGAGCCAAGGGGTCCACAGTGCCAGAGCTTGTTTTGGTTTCAATAACATGAAGCAAGCAAATTACTTCCACTCTCTGTAGATCAGAGATGCTGGGTCTGGGTCTGCAAGTATCCCATCCATCATCCTTGGAGATTCTCATTCAGATTGTGGGAGACACCATGAAGCACAAACAGCAACACAGTGACCTCCCCCCTTAGATTTTTAAAGCACCACAGGGGGGAGAAGGAACCTTTCAGCTTAAGACCTGTATTACAACCGTTAGGCAATCATGTCTCCTGGTGACCTAAGAACAGAAACTAAATGTGCTTTACCAGAGTATAAGATTGGGTTTCCTGCGGTGCATAAAGTGTGGTTTGTTGCGTTGCATCTGCAGGAAGTACAACATATCCAGAATTTGCAGCTCCACTTGGGGTAGGGTCACCTTGAGCCTAAACAGAAATTGTCAAATTATTCTTTCAGTATCTAAAACAGAGACTGTGAGAAATCCATTTACAGTAATAAAGAGCAAAATCAGGGCTTTCAAAAAGTTTGAAAGCAGAACACAAATAAAAATTAGGAGACAGCCATGTTATTGTGGATGCCATTCACACATTTAACCCTGTTACTGGTAAAATTAACACTGATAAAAGGCCACTTGATGAAAATACAATTTTCCAGCAATTATACGCATATTAGGTGAAAGTAGCAACCTTAAGATGACAGATTAGGCAGAGCCTTTGCCTGGGTAATAGCTCCTACTAACAGCTTAAATACGCACTTACAATCTGCTGTACCCCTGGGGAGCTATACTGCACTGTATTAGGATCAGTTTGGCCTGCTATGACTGTTCCTGGAGTTGCCATCAGTGGGGCTGGATCAGGGTGTAATACCTGAGGGACCATAGTCTGCGCTGGTAGAGCACTGGGTGCAGCATACATCACTGGTTGATTGTTTGGAACCTGCTGAGCGGGTACCATGATGGGTTGCTGGGTAGACTGTGGCATTAAAGCCACTTGTGATTGAGTTATTTGCATGGTGCCTGGGTATGCTGGGACAGGGGCACTTGGTGCTGTCTGAAGTTGCATCTTCAAATAAAAAAGAATATTTGTTAAACAGAAACAAAACTTTCTTTTTTTGTTTGTGTTTTATTTGTCTTTAATTTCTCACTTTTTTTAATTAATTTTTGTGAGTTAGTGCCTTGTTTGTCATCTCTAGCAAATGTTTTATAATTCAGGGTTGCCAACAGACCCCTTTGGAAACATGTTGAACTTAACCCTTTAATTCCCAGAAGTGATCAATATGAAAATTCTCTCAAGAATGTCCTTACATTATCCAGCAAACAGCCAATGAGAATATTCAAAGTTATCAGGTAGAAGTTGTTGTCTTGATCAAACACCAAATTCTTACAATGAATCTACAAGAATATGTGTACCAACTAGAGGGGAGAATTACCAATCAGATCTTGGGAGTTAAAGGGTTAACCCCTCAAAGTGACTAGCATCTCATTCCTCCTTACAATATCACACTTCTCAAGAATAAAGGAAATGATCAGCACCTAAGGAAATTCTCAATTATTAAACAAATTCTCCTTGTCGGAACCTAAGGAAACATAAGGGAACAGTATGAAGAATACGAATAATGATGTTACGGTGTTAAAGGTTATGATAGTCTTTCATGAGAGGAGAAAATGAAAGAGTCCAGTGTCACACCCCACTTGACTTGAACACGAGGCCCTTACTCTAACCTCATCTTTCCCATTAAATAAACTAGAGAATGTACATAAAAAAAGAAAAAAGGCACATCCAACTAACCAACTGGGGCACAGCTGATCTTGGACCCAGCAGCGGAGATGGCACTAACATTCCTTGCTGCTGCTGCTGTTGCTGCTGCTGAGGTGGAGCAGGAACCAACACCTCCTGTTGCTGTAGCATAGGCTGCACACCCATTGGGCCAAACACTCCTGGTTCAGCAGCAGGGGGAATGATACCCCCTCCCATAGGCTCACCCATCAGGGCAGGGATGGGTGTCTCACCTATGTGTTGCTGGGAAGGATCAAGACCCACTGGCCCTGACTAAAAAAAAAAAAAACAGAAAAGTGACCAATCTGTTTAACTCTGATGATGTATTCCTTATAGGTTGAGGGAATATCAGTCACTACAGCTGAAAACATTCCTTCTCAAGATGATCAGACTGCATGATCTCAGCAAAATCTCCATGGTAAATGAATCATCTGCAAGCTGCATAATACTAGTGAACTGTACCTGCATCTGTTCTGGGGGCAAAACTGTCCCATCAGGCTGTTCCCCAAAGTCCATCAAAGGGCGTGGTTGCAGGGGTACCCCTCGGGGTGCCACAGGTCTCACCCCTGGAGGACCTCCCACACCCATACCAGCAAAGCCCCTGGGACCTGGTGAAAAGAAACATAGTTTGACAGTTTGGTAAACAAATAATAAAAAAAAATTACAAATGTAGTTCTAAAACTATCACATTGAATTTGATTAATTGTCTTTACCTGCTGGATGTCTCATCATGGGCCTTGCTCCAGGGGGACGGCCCATGAGGGGCCTAGGTGCATGACCAAAAGGGGATCCTCTAGCACCTCCTGGTCCAGGTCCCCTGGGCCGACCTGCAGCGAACCTTGGACCCTGCAAAGACAGAGCACTCCATACATATATCACCCATGTTTTACCAATTAAACTCTACCTTTGGCCTACCATTGTAGCAATAAGAAGTTTCTTTAAAAATTACATAATTCAATCTTCAAGTAGCTTAATGATATAAAAAAAATTGAAGCTTTTCCTCATATCAGCCTAAGCAGTATTTTATGTCAAACACTTACTGTAAGACCTGGTCTGAGAGGTCTAGGTGATCTTCCAGGATGTCCTCGTGGCATTTGTTGCCAAGGCTCTGAACCCATAAGTGGACGTGGAGCCATGAGGGGGCGGGGGCCCCTGGCAGCCATCATATCAAGGCCTTGGGGTGCATGAGGAGCAGGGCCCCTAGGACGAGTGCCAAATGATGACTGGCCTCCCTGTGACATGACAAACAAGACATGAAAACAAAATTAAAGCCTTGTACACCTTGCAAAGTGGGACACACTTATGGAACGCAGAACTGAGGAATGATGTTCCAGGTTGGATAACTGGCTGGCTTCTTATGTTGTGTTCTTCAATTAACTGTCACTAAGCCTCTCTCTACCCAGAAGCAAAATGCATTACAAAAATGCATTCTCTCTACCCAGAAGCAAAATGCATGACAACATCCTGAAAGGTAACCATCAAAATGTGGGGGGGGTAACAAAATCATATGCTGACATCCCATCCAAGGGAGTAGTAGTGCTCCTTCCCGGTGGCTTCTTGTAACTGAAGGCTCTTAGGCTTGACAGCTGGGCTAACCCTACTCATAACATTATATCTTAGAGAGTTGGTCATACCACAAACAGAAACTAAGATTTTAAAAATTGTTCTCACCACATTGGTGTTCTGCCCTCCAAGAATGCTTGCACCAGTTCTTCCTGGAGTTCCATAAGCCACACGGATATTTGTGCCTTCTAACAGCGCCCCATTGTGTGCCTTCTGTCCACGTTCTGCCTCTTCTGCTGTTCCATAATCAACAAAGGCAAATCCCCTAGATATGCCTGTTTGAGGATTCACTGCAACCTTTAATACAAAGATCAGAATAAAAATCATTTTTAGTTCTCTGTCATGACAATTATAGTCAACTCTCTCATAAGCAGATAATTTTGGTTTTATCAACTGAGTAAATAGGCCACTGTAAAGAGTTCCAAAGCCGATGTTGCAAGTGTTAGCCCTTTGTCAGAACTTTGAAACTCTTTGCGGTGGCCAATTTACATTATCAACTCAATTGATGAAACCAAAACTATCTTGTTACATTCTCCCCTAATGCAGCACCACAGATTCTTTGGAAACTTACCCTCTTCTCTCTGCTGACACCTTCAGGAGTTTGAAAAAGAGTTCATCGGTAGAACTCTCCATTTACAAGAATTAATCCAATCAGTGGACATCAAAAAAAAAACTTGGTTGGATGTCTGCTTACGGGAGAGTGTTACATCAGACTCTTGTTAATTTCTGACAAACAGACAGCTTGCTTTCCAGCAGACAAATGGAGATTTGACAAAACCCCACTGTCCTGATGCTCTAACAATGATCATATTTTTGTTGACTTACAAATTCAAGACTAATTTCATTGCCAAAAGTCAATTATTGTGCAAGGGGTGTCCCTTTGTAATGGAGCGTAAACAAAAGAAAAATCCAATTTTTAAGGGTGGGTGCTCATTTGAGGGTTGGGCACTTGATCAAATATAAATGGCATAGCCATTTCCTTCTCAATGTATAATTTACCTGTGCAAATGTTACTGATCCACTCTGACTGAATAACTCCTTTAAAACTTCTCCATTAGTGAAGTCTCTAGGAAGTCTGTCCACAAACAGAGTCTTGGAATGTAAATCTTCATAAGTTAACAGATTTGGCTCAGCAAAGTTCACCCTTAATATTCGTCCTCCAACATATTTTGACCCTGTATTCATCAACTGTTGTTTGGCAAGACAAGCTGACTCGCGTGTGACATAATCCACAAAACCATAACCTTTACTTTCTCCCGTAAACATGCTCCGCACAAGGAATATTCTTTCTATGGGTCCAAATGGGCTCATTAGGCTCCTAAACTGTTCCTCTTTAAACTCAAATGGCAAATTACCGACAAACAACAGACTGTCTGGTGGAGCAAGAGAGACACCAAGGACACAGCCATGAAAACTTTGCCTATTGAGTGAGTTAATGGCAGTGACAGCCTGCTCAGGTGCTCCAAGAAGAACATGAGCTATAAAGGGAGAAAATACTAGTTAATATTTAAACTCCCACAGGTAATTAATATGTAACTTCTCCTGAAAATACACAAACGTTATCCAACAAAAAGGTAATGAGAATATACAAACTTAACAGGTAGAAGCTGCTATCTTGATCTAATACCAAATTCTCGCAACTAAGTGATAATGAAATGCCTAGAGCTAGAGGGGGGAATTAACTTAACTTTTCATTATGCTATTCTAAACTCTTATGCTCCTAAAACATTTGGATTGCTAAATACCAGTCAACAAAACCTAACTGCTATATGAAAAAACTACCAACTTTCTCCAGATTGATAAAAACAACTTATTTCACTTGACAACAACAATACAAAAGCCTAACTTTCTTGTTGAAATTATATGAAATTATTCCTGTTTAACCTCTGGCTTCCAGAAGTGATTACTACTAAAATTCTCCTTACAAATGCAATATACCGTCAAGCAGACAGGTCATGAGAAGTAAAGAAATGATATTTCCTTAACTCAGAGATACTCTTGGGATATAATGCTTAGCTCCATCACTTGGCAAAGAGAAATGTACTGTCATTACTTGGGAGAATCTGTATTTTTGATTCAAGCTGAGGCCTGATCATTGAGTACAAATGTAAGACATAGAGAAGAGCAACTAAAACATCATTTTTTAAGCCAATAGTAAGCATTCTGCATGACTTGTTTCATCTTCAAAGGCTATCTCTCTGATATAACAACTAAGTAAATAAATTGAGAGATCCTGCATTGAGTAGAATATAGTTATACTTGTGCACGAATTTATCACCTGAGTTCTTTTCTATTCTTAAATCAATAACGTCAAAGCCTTGAAGGAAATTTGTCTTCAAATCCTGCAAGACAAAATACCAGTCTCAAGTCAATCTCCCCACTAGTCTCAATTTTTCGGTTGGGGTATAGAGTAAAGATGGTCGTTTTTTCAGTTTTTAAGTGTAAGCGTATAACGCTTCCCTTCCCCTCCCCCCCCCCCCCCCTCATCCAACCACTGCAATGTACACGATCGAAACAAAACTTTTAGAAACTCCCTCTTAGCCCAGACGGTAAAAACAGGCTCAATTGTCAATATCATCACCAATAATTTTCAAGAACTACCTAACGAGAAATACATAACATAAAAGGAATTCAACAGTACAGTCAGCTTGTGATGCAGATAGCAAATTGTTACCGTATTGGCGTATATGTATGGCTGTTACGATCGCTGTTTTAGTGCCTGTTCCAACAACTTTCAACTTCTGATTCTCAGATTTTGCTCACATGGTAAACAATCTCGGTATCTTACCTCTAAATCGACGCCATCTGGGACATTTGTAATGAGAACCCATCGCCGCTTCTCAAACTCTTCCTTCGGATTGAAGCTGGAGACAGTTTCCAGCTCCCCGTTGTTTTGTAATTTGACTGCTCCGTTCATTACTCATTGATAATCGTCGTCTCGTCTTTGAAATAATGAAGTTGGCGTTAAAAAAGGAACCGTAGATTATAGGAGATTGCAAGAAACTTTGTCCTGCCTTCTTTCGATATCAAAACATCTTTTGATATCGCCTGTTTAGGACAAAACACGTGCATCCCACAATCCCTCTGACCATTTGGGCGTCGGAGAATATCCGTACGCTTTCGGAAGTTTTCGGTAAGGATCGTGAAAATGACTCGCCCGCCTCGACAAATTTGATTTGAAGAGTAACATCTAACAAAAGAGGAAAAATTCTGGAAAACGAATAGATAGTGAAAATGCACATGGCTAAATTTTTCTAGCGGGAGAAACAGCCAGCCGGTTCAGTCGACTATCATTTCACGCCGAGCAAGTAAAAAAGTTTGATCGTAGTTTAGAGAAGATAAGTCCCGCCCAGATCCTATTGCGTGATTAAAAATGGCTGGAGATCTACGCACGAAAGTGATTTTGGCTCATGATGGAGACTGAAGAGTCACTGAAAGAAAACGCTTCGTGAGAGAAAAGGAACTTTTTTATTTCCATCAGAGTTAGATTAGTATCGATTGTCTTCTGCTTCCATGAATATAAATTACATCCGATTTAGCTAAGACGGTTGATAAGATTGAAAATAGAATTTTTTTTTTAACCTGCAAAACTGGCGTAATTTTTCATCCCAAGCCTCTCGCGGCTTCTCTGCTCACCATCTTAGCGCAGACAAAAACCGCAAACACGCCGGTTAGATGCGCGCGCGAAACGCAAGTACACGCGGGGAAAGAGGAGCGTTCACCTCGCGTTTGCTTCTGCTCCAGTCGCATGATAGCGCAAAATTACGCCTGTTCTGGAGATAAATCATAATGATGATCAGAACAGAATATGTGGACCACAATAAAATATCAAACATGACATATTCAGGAAAACTAAATTATTTTCGTGATTCTCGATAACGTTCGCGTTCCGATAACAATTAACTTGCATGATTACTTTGCCAGCATGTCTTGCATTGAATGCTTTAAGATTTTTAATTAGTTGCAGTTCAACAAGCACCGTTTAATTAATCCAGTTATACTTATTTTTTTTAAGAAAATCTCGCTGCAACTAACATTGTGCTCCAGTCTGTTTACATCACCACCATATCGGCCAAAAAACGTCTTAGCTTCGATGAATTTTCATATCAACATCGTTAATCTCATCACGAAATAAGCAACAATCTTCTTCGTCGCTATCGGCACAATCTCGTACATGCGCACGAAATCGTCTTGATCTCGGTGGTCCAGGCTCGTCTTCATATGGATCCTCGCTTTCAAACTTGAGTCGTATGAAATAGTTCAAAAGTTTGTAATAACAGTAAGCAAGACATCCTGATCCAAACACAGTCACAGTGATTATTAACCAGCCAAGCATGCCTCTGAACAACACACTTTGGCATTACCATATCACCCAAGTCTCATATCATATCACCAAGCCGGAATGATTATTGGCATGTCTGACATCTCTTCGAAGTTCACGGAACAGTTTTTGTATCAACATGTGCTAGGAAATTCAATATGACGCCAACACCTGTATTATTATCGCCTGTAACAGGTGGTATGAACGTCTTGAAACAGAAATGTTTTGCGATCTTCCCGCAGAGCATATCACAAAACATTTTCTGGATGAGTGTGCAATTGCTTCACTTTTGAATAAATGAATATTTATTGCGAACAATTAACACGTAGGGTTTTTGTTTCTTATTCATTCCCTGTTCACAACGCGCTGGACAAATTTGAAAACGCAATTTGAGAAATGCAACAAAGTCTCTCGTCCACACTTGAAAAACGAGTTAAATTTTCTCCATCCGCATTACGATGTTCGGTGGCGGTAAATCTTTTCGGTTGTATTCACAGGCATTCGTTTAATAATGGCCTAACTAACCTGCCAATGGATAAATGAATATATTAGGAAAAGACCGATCAAAGTTTTTCACCTGGGGAGTGGGGTGAGGACTTTTGGCGTGTCACCATAAAATTTACCCGATCGCCCCATTAGACTATAAGGATCAAACTAAATCGAAAAAAATGCTGGACACTCTCTTTTCTTATTCCTCTATAATTAGTAAGCGTTGGCGCAGAAAATTCACACAAGTCCTCTCACAATTCAAAGTGATTTACAAACAAGAATTTCTCGTGAGGGCAGGGGTTGAGAGTAACCGACTGGGAATTGATGGGAGTGGGGTGAAAATCGCTAGTCACTTGTGCGATCTTGTCTTTTCTTAGTTACAGCCTCGTTGCTGTGATGAAGTTTGATCGATAATGCCTATACTCGAAATTTGTCTCGTTATCACAGGTGTCGTAATATTCTCCGTCGTGAATGCTGTTGTGGTTAAGTATTACTTTGGTGGCAGCAAATTTCGTGAGAAATCAGAGTCGGCTTTCCAGCCTGTTGAAAAAGACGATATGGGACATTCGTATTATTAAAGGACGTGGTTCTTGGCAACTTCGTGAGACATCAGTCTGCTAGAATTCTGCAGCTACTTATCTTCATGGATTTCCAACTGTAGTTTTGACGGTAGAGGGAGTATGCAATTGGATAGGGACACTGATATCAATTAATAATGCGCAATCATTGGTTAATAATCGGGACTCGACTTCAATTAAGGATCTTACGAATGGGGCGACTTTAAGAGTGCGATATCACCGGCATAGTAGAGGAAGCGCTTTTATCCGCTGACTAACATTGACAGGCAAAGGTGAACAGATATAAACTTGCAAATACTGCAATCAAAACTTCTTGCATAGAATATTATCTTTTGAACTAGAACCGACTCTTATTTTTCTCGTCTAATCGAATATTTAAAACGGTCTGCATGAAGGTCGAATCGTACGGTTGCGTAATATTTTCATCATTCTTGGTCGTTTGGCTTGTTCCTATGGAGATAGAGTTAAAAAGGGTGTAGATATTGTGATATTTTTGTGGGATATATTTTTTGGTTCAAATGAATGAAATGTTGCCGGAAAAAAATTATAAAATGTGCTCCCTGGAACTGCGTACTCCATAGTCTCATTAAAAACGTACATATTTTATACGGTTACTAACAACTCAAGTTTGCATGCTGTCGGGTCTCTAAATAATAAATTTGCAAGTTATGGCCAAATGCTAAAAAACAAACAAAAGAGAATAAAAAAATAACAAAACACAGAAATTCGACAATTTTCTTTTAAAAGAAAGTAATTAGAGTCAACGTCTTCAATATTCGTCCTCAATGAACAACTTCTTCCAAGCGTGAAAAAAAGAAAAAAACCACCCCTAATGACTGTGACTCGTATTCATTTGCAAATATGGATAAGAGTTATTCAAAACAATTTTAACTGTCACGATTTTCATTCCCCTTTAGCTTGCGTTCACTTCAGTAGAAATGTTGATCAAACATTTTTTTGGGTCATTTTATTAAATGTCCTATAATCCTCCTGAGACCTGTCTCAGTACAGTTTCACATGAAGATATAAAATAGGCAGAATTTTGACCCGAAATTCTGTCTATTTTATATCTGCATGTGAAAATGACCGAAAAAATATTTGATCAACATTTCTATTGAAGAATCGACGGCTTGAAAGTTATAAAGTTCAGCATGGAAATGCAAATGGCGAGTCAAGTGACATTTAGTTACGGAAATGATAAACAACAAATTTTATTCTCGCCATAATCTTCAAATCGTCCTTTCAGAAAAATAGCAAAACAGGCTCATAATCACTAGCGATGCGAAAATTTTCGTTTTTACGCACTAGGGGGAGAAAAGTAGAGGACAGAAAGTGAAACGATCTTACGTTTGCTATTTGCCGTGAACGAGGTGCTTAACTCTGTAATATCTTATTTGTTGCCCAGTTTTTCGGCAGTTGTGGCGTCGCGTCCTCAAAAAGAACGCTTGCGCTACCTGATGTGTTTTCGCATAGATCCGCAAGATTGAGTCTGATGTGTTTTCGCATACATCAGCAAGATTGGGTCTCATCGAAAAATGACAGCAAAAGAGTGCTAGACGACTTAAAATGGTTATTACAGAGGTCGTGTATATATAGCAATCCACGATTGTCTTTAGCAAAGCTAAATAAGCGACTTTTCCTGAAAAGGAAAAACAAGCTACCATATTTAAACAGAAAGATGCGCGGAGTTGTCACGTTTTTGCGGTTTAAATTCATCAAGTTTTTATAGCGCGGGTATTTCTAGTTAATGCGTCATTTCATCTTTTCTAAACAGCTCAGCAGAAAAAAGAGCGTCGTTTCTGGAAGGAAGTGCGTTCCTTTAGGAAAAGCCGAAAATAAGTCGCCAGAGGCAGGGTTCATAAAGCCCGAAAGGAGGTATTGTTCTCGTCGGAGATTCTTGCTACTTTTGAGGGGTTACACTTCAGCTGGGGAAAACATGTTGTTCGCAGTGGATATTGGCGTTTTCGTTGGGTCAGTGGTTGTTCTATCTTTTGTGTATGTCTCTTTTCTCAAGAAGATGGTGAAAACATCTTCTGAGGTTAGCAAAGAGAGAGAGAAGTCTGCAAGCAGCAAGAACCACATTAAGGCTGACTAACTGAGAGGAATTTCCATCCATAAAATTCATATTACAGGATAACGGGCACAAAAGTGTATAAAAGTAATCAAGACCTTATTTCTCACTGGCACACAGCACTTCTATCATTGAGATAGGGCCGATAAAGCCACAGACTTTCAAAGTGATATTCTGCATCATCGCCGCTGGGCTATCTAACACTGTTTATCAGGAAGAAAGAATCATGGAACCATATTTTGCGAAAAACTGTGGTACCTCTTTATTTAACAATTCTCTAAAATAAATCTGCATCGATTGAAGGTGGCATTGACTCCAACATACACGTTTTCTACCTAATTTTTCCCCACTGACAGCGAAATAATTTTATCTCCTAATGATCTAAATTGCACTGATATTTTAAAGTACCAAACATTCGCATCGTGTTAAGTTATATAATAATAAATTTGATCGATCAGTTCTTGTAAAATACATTACTTAAATAAGTAAGTCCAACTGGTGGTAAAAAACGAGAATGTGTCGAGTAAATATCCACCGTAGAATAATCCTAAATATCACACATGATTTACATCATGCATGAAGCTTGACCAGCCATCAGATGTAG